TCACATTTCAAGTTCTATTTCTCAGAGCCAAAAAAAAAAAAAAAGAAGTCTGGAAATCAACCCCCCCCCTTTAAAGCCCATAAAATCCTGACTTCCCTCCCACGCAAAGCCACGAGCTATCATGTCCAAGTTAGTCCAACTTCGTTTTCTTTTTTTTTTGGACGCATCTCATTTGACGGGAGGAGGGCATCTTTACAGTCCCCGCTCGGAAACTACAAGGCCGTCGAGGTGTGATCTATTCGACGGCCGTACTGAGTCACTCGATGCCACACGTGATAGAAATCCTGAACGGCGTGGTAGAATACCGTGCTAGTGGGTCCAGGCCCCAGGGCCCTGCATCAACCCCCCCCCACCTCCACCCCCAAATTTTATTTTATTTTTAATCAAAGACACCCTGTTCTGTTTTTTTTTTTTGTTTTTTGTTTTTAAGATTTGAAGGCACGGGGGTGTAGAAAGTCCCTGCACCACCCCCTCCCGCCCTGATCCCGACCGTACCGGCACCCAGGTGGGCGGAAAACCCCTGAAAGGCGGCCGTGAATGGATTTTGGCCCCAGTGACCGGCCGGTCACGTTCAGGTGACCGTTGCCCGTCACGTTCACGGGACCGGCACGGGGTCCGGTACAGGCATGCTACTCTCTCTCTCTCTCTCTCTCTCTCTCTCTCTCTTCCCCCTGCGTCTGCCTGGGACAAATTAGCACCCGTACACAGTCATGTTGGGAACCCTCATGCTGCCTGTNTCTCTCTCTCTTCCCCCTGCGTCTGCCTGGGACAAATTAGCACCCGTACACAGTCATGTTGGGAACCCTCATGCTGCCTGTACCCGCCCGTACAGATGGCTTGTATACATTCATTACCAGGGTACATTTTGTTCAGGGGACGACTCTAGCCATGGACGCTGTACTCTGTGTGTGTGTGTGTGTGTGTGTGGTGTGTGTGTGTGTGTAAGTCCGCAGGGGATGAATTTGGCCACGGTTTTAAATTAGCCTCTGTGTGTGTGTGTGTGGAAGTCCGCACGGGACGAATTCAGGTACGGTTTCAAATTAGCCTGCACCCTCTCTAAGTGGGCTCCAGAGGGCCCCACTAGAAGGGTAGAGTTTTATCAACGCCCGAATCTGGACGTGTTGGAGGAGATGTGCAGAAATGGCATTATATTTCCTCAACACCACATCTCCACAAAAAAGTCCATGAATCTGGTGCATAAACAGGATCAGATTCATTCCAATGTAAAAGAGGCCGATGGTGTGGATAGAAAGTGGCCCAAGCACAGTATTTTGAAAAACCGCGGCCCTACCGGTTCATGAATCTGGTGAAGAACCCGTGCCAGACTCATTGTCCTTTTACAACAGGCCAACAGATCTGTGAGACTCATTGTCCTTTTACAACAGGCCAACAGATCTGTGGCCATGGAAGGCGCCTTTCACCCAGGGAAAAGTTTTTTGGGCCTGTAGTACCAAATGGCTGAACTTTGGGTGGCTGAAATCAAAAAGGTCTTGGCGTGGCCGCCGTGGCGGCTTTCCAACAATTATCCCATTAAGAAAAACTATTTTCCGAGCCCCATCAAAGCTTATACAAACCGCGTTTTCAGCTGTGGCCTGAAACGGACACCTACACTGTTTGCAGGAGGTCCAACTCCCCACCAAAAAGTCAAGGCCATCAACATCACGCCTCAACGGAGAAGATGCTCGTATCACCTTCAAGGTAACCGTTGCAGCTTCTTTTTTCCTTCGGGTAAAGCTTCACAGGTTTGCATCGGACTCCAAGATGATTCATGAAAAGACCGAAAGAAGAGGAGGGACAATATACTCACACGAGGACCTCATAACCTAAATTCCAAAATTTTGAGGTAGATTTCAGGTCGCACTGGGTCCTCCCGGTTCCCTTTTGTACTTTTTAGTGAACAAAATGTCAGCTGTTTGTCGAGGGACTTGGAAGGAGTAGCCTTTACCACCGCAAGAGGTGGTCTCAAATTCTCTTTTCGATTTTTTCATTTTCCAAAGAAAGTGAGAGAATTTGTGCATGAAGAAGACAGCCCACTTGTTATTAGAAAAGAACAAAACCTGTTCTTTTTGGGTGGGGTTCTGTGTGACTACGCGCACTTGGCTTGGTGTCCAACTTGGTGGGTCGCTACTCTGTACTTTCTGGACAGAGTCCACCCGTGTGACCACACGGGAACCCGAAGTCTCAAATTTGCGGTACCAATGCCTCAAAATTTTGAGACTGTACCAATGCCACAAAATTTTGAGACAGTAGGGTCCCCGTGTGAGTATGCCCTGAAATTCTAAGTCTTTGTTGTTTTGTTTGATAGAAGACAAATTTCCTGCCAATGGTGTTCATCGATCCCGAATAGCTGATGGAGTGCTCACACTAGGAGTTTTTGTCAAGGCTAATTGCAGTTAGGTTTGTGCCTGTCTGGCCGTAATTGCAGTCAGATTCATTTTGGAAAAGCTTTTCAGGTCTCCAACTCCAGCCCACCTTCGGTTGAAAGATACTCTTCGAGCTTTCTCACCAGACGACTTTTGGGATGGACCTCACCGCAACTGCCACTGGAGCTGGATGCATTTCACCGGCATTCCATCCAGGGAGCAGTCCAAAAACTCCCAGCTTCACTGTGCTCTCATTCTTTTTTTTACTTCAGCGCCGGGGGCAAGTCACACGAAACTGCGTGCGCCTGCTGTGTTCGGCAAGTCGCAGGGGAAGAGGCTCCTTTTTCAGCACGTCTGGTTTTGTGTTTTTCCAGAAAAAATCATTCATGACCAAAAGAGGGGAGGCCGGAGTACTGGGAGCATTACCCAGCTCCGGTGCAGAGAAATATCTTGGAACAGAAAAGACCAATTGTGGGCTGCTGTCTTCAAAACTCATGGCATACTGACGCTAGGACTTCTTCCCCTTCTCTCTGGACATAATTGCGGCCAGATACATCCTGGCCAGGTCGGAAAAGCATTCATATACATCCACGAGCCGGCCAAATGCGTTCTCCGGCGGCCTGGCACGCCCTGACATTTGTGTATTGCATTCACTTTTCTCAACTTTTTTGCCCTTTTTTGCGAGGCAGTGGGCATACTCGCACTAGGACTTTTCTTACTAATCTATCGCCGTAAATTCCCGTAAATACGCTCAGGGCATACTCACACGGGGGCCAAAAGTCTCAAAACTTTGAGGCATTTGGCTCGTTTTTTTTTAGGCATTTGGTCCACGCGTGGTCACACGGGCGGACCTCGTCCAGAAAGGATGAAGTCGCTACCCTGACACTTTGCACTCAGGGCAAGTGCGCCCCGTCACACGGGGGAGGACCAAACAACCAGATGGGATTTTTTTAAAGTTTTTGTTTCACGCCAGTATAACACGTGGGGCTTCGCTACAAAGGAAATGTTCCTGGTAGCACTTTCAGTTGTTTGGCGGGCTGTCATTCTCTTCAATTCGCGAACATAGATAGAAAAAAAAACGAAAGGTCATTTGAGACCACCTCCGGAGGTGGTCTCAAAAAGGGTCCACCCGTGGCCCCGCAGGCCGCTGAGAGAAGGGTCACGTTTGAGGCATTCGGATAGCGAGCCACTCCAGTGCAACCCGAAAAATGACTCAAATTTTGGGATTTTGGGTCTTTTGCGGTTAGTGAGGGCATACTGGGTCAGATACGTCCAGGTCAGTCAATGCGATTAGATACATTCCAGATAGAGCTAGTGTGAGGGCATACTTGCACTGCGCCCCATATTCCCAAAGGCGCAAAACAACCAGTCCACGGCAGGTCACATAAACATCCCAAGGCCACAATTGCATTATTGATGATTATTCTGCTTCCCATTTGTCAGCGGCCTGCGAGGAAGGGATTTTGCCGTCAATTTTTGCGGTCACCTGTTGAGGTGACAGCAAGTTAGCAACAGCAAATGCCTTATTTATCTTCCCGGATTTTCTTTGGAAAATGGCCAGAATTCATTCACACAAGTTCTTGGCAGATTGTCTTTTTTTTTCGGAGGGGGGGGGAACTTTGTTAAAATACCCCTAAAAGTAGGGGTATTTGCCATTTGGCCAGATACCACTAAAAGACGGGGATATGCACGAACAGCCCGAATCTCTGCATCTGCCCCTGTCTCCGTCATGGGCAACTTCGCCATATGCCCTGGCCCTGGGCTGCAGGGGCCTGTACGTTTCTTTTGCCATCTGCAGGGCCATAAGGACAGAAATCTCCGGGCATATAGACAAGTTGTCAAGGGCCCAGTATGGGTATATGCAAAAGATGACGGGTCCAACTGGTGAGTGGGGTATTTTGCTGCTGTGATAGGGGCATTTCACCGTACCCATGCCTTTGAGAAGTTTGAGGGGTATCTGATGAAATAACCCAACTTTCAGGGGCATTTCAACAATTTTAGCTTTTTTATTTTCTTTTGTTTGGGGGGAAAGATTGTTTATTGTAACGGCCTGGGGATGACTTCTTTTTTTTTTTTTTCTTTTTTTTTTTTCTTTTTCTTTTCAAAGCTATATTCTTCTCTCAATTTCACCTCACACTACCTACCTACCACTACTCCTAATTGTAGGCATACGGGGAACCCCGTAGCAGCCAGAACCCTGTTCACGAGAGAACAAGCAGGGCTGCTCCCGACCTGCAGGTGGGCAATACAGGCTGCAGGTGGGCAATACAGGCTAGGGGACAGCCGCTAGCATCAGGGACCATGCCAACAGGACCAATCCCTGTGCCTCCCCTCAGGTGGTGGTCCCCCCCCTACGAACATCGGCAGACTCTGCACAATACAGATCGGGGGATCCAGTGGTCTATCTCTAGGTGGCGGGTGCCAAGCATGCAGATGACAAAGGGGAAGGGAAAAAAGAAAAAAGAAAAAGAAAAGGCAGAATTAATGGTTGCCGCTGTGTGACAGGTGCAGCCCACCAAATCCCCTTTTCTCCAGAATTCCGCCACCTTGTCCTATTAGCAATAATAAAGGAGTGTGGACTGGGGGCGGCGGGCGCGGTAGCGCTGCGCTAATCCTGCGCTAAAGCGTTACCGGGGACGGTAGCGCACCTGGTGTTGGAGCGGTACGGCTCAATAGCGTTTCGTGTCTTTCATCTTCGTCTTCGGTAATTACGAGGGTAGGGGTGGGAAGGCCTGCCTTCACCATCATGAGGGTGTGAACCGACCGTGAGATACGGGGCGGTCAAGGCAGTGGCCTGGCCTTGAGGTCTGATCTGTGGACGCGAATTGGTTAGCAACTTGCCTGATTTCCATACTGTGATTCTCTTGATGGCGTTGGACGATGTAGAAAACACTGCAGAGCTTTACCAAGGAGGCGGGAGCGACGGCCGAAGTCTACCCTTGCGGACCGTCACGGGCAATTCACGAAGCAGAATGCAGGTATAACTTTCCCCCCCATCCACACTGATACCCGGGGTTGGAGGAAGTTCATATTATTATTATTGTTTCCTATTTCTTTGAAGCTTCTATTGAACACTTAAATATCTATAGGCCAATAGGTTGATAGGTCGATAGGATCGTGTACGGTATGGCGGCCTCAGGGCCGTCTTCATCCACCACTCTGGATGAGAAGGAACGAATTCGGGGCATTATGTCCCAGTGTTATCTGGATGGGATTCTCCCCCCACGCCTTGCTCCCTCCAAGGTCGAGGTGGGGGATGACTACCTTAAAGTAACGGTCAACCAGGAGTTATATAACATCCAGGGGGAGTGGTTGCGCGAACATGCGGTTACGATACTCTTTGGGGACGATTCTTCGTCGATCCCCACTGAGGTCAAAAAGAAACTGGTGCGGGTCTATGAGAACGGGTGGGCTGCTCATTTGACCACCCCAGCTAAGCGTGGCCTGTTCCACAACGAAGGTCGGAATCTGATTACGTATGTTGCTCCCTCCAAAGAGGGAGCAGACTGGATGCTCCGCTATGGTCAAACGCAAATCGAGCTCGAGAAGGTCATCCATAAGGTTTCTTTTAAACCATGGATGACCGAAAGCGAACTTTGGGAATGGCGTGAAGTAGCTAAGCATCGCTTCTTTTAGATCCATTGTCAACAGGTCCCGATCGGTGTCTTGCCACTTCTACCTGGAGTTGTCCGAGATGCATACGGCAGTGACCTCCTGAAAGAGTACCCCGCCTTCAAGTCCAAGTTGAATCCTGATATGTTGAATGTGCGCTTTGACTTGGAGTCAGTGGCTAGACTTCGGTATAGAAAATACCTGGTCGTGGAGTTAGGGGACTATGGTTATGTGGAGTTGGAAGTAGTCTGTGCCGAAACGCCTTGGTGTCCTCTATGTAGAAGGCACTTCCACTGGGAAAATGATGAGGATTGCCCCTCTCGGAAGAAAACTTCGTATGCGAAAGCAGTGAAAACTCAGGGAGGAGGCACGGGGAAGACAAAGAAAGATGGCACTGAGGGTAAGGAGGGCGGAAAAGAGGGAATAGGGAAGGAGAAGGAAGAGAAGGGAAAGGATAAGGAGGGGTCGGAAAAACCTACAAAGGACGATACAGAGAAAAGCTCTGGAAAGAGATCGAGGAAGGGTTTGGGGGAAGTCGGAGAGAAGGAGGGAGGTGAAAAGCAGGGAAGCAGTTCCCCCCCCATGCCATTGGGTGAAAAGGAGAAGGAGAAAGGGACAAAGGAGAACACGGAGCAACCCGGGGAAGAGGAACGGGAAGCTGCGGCGAAAGGCTCTCCTGGGAATGCAAGTGAGAATTTAAACGTTAAAATGGGAATTCCTGATGGAGGAAAAAATAATATCCCTACGAGAGAACATGAAATTAGGGAAAAAATGGATGAAAGGAATATCGACCTCATGCAGGAAGATCGCCCCCCCCCCGTTAGAATGCAAGTGAGAATTTAAACGCAAGAGACGGGAATCCTTGGAGCCCACGGCCAAGGATGGCGAACGGGTGTCGGGCTTTCAAATCCAAGGGAGGAAGATAGTGTTGCACAACGGTTATATTCCTAACAGCCATCCCCCCCTCCCCCCCTCCGAGGCTTTTTCAGACGAGGAGGAGGAGGAAGAGGAAAAAGATGAGGAAGATGACCCTATAGCTAATCGGAATCGGAACTCAAGCCTCCGTCGGTCAGGCTCCAAACATTATATAAACGATGCATATGCCTCCTCTCAGGAGGAGTCTGACTACGAGGTTGACTTAGGGGTGGAAGTTCTATACCGACTAAAGGATGCTCGGCCAAAGGGCCATTCTCGAGGAGAGTTCCTGGAGTCCGACAAGGAGGAATTCCTGTCGATGGACAGTCAGTCGGCAACCCCCGCAGACGGGGTAGGCCCTTCACAGAGGGAGACAAATGTTCTCACTCTGGCTATTCATGAAGGTTCCCCCTCAAAGAAACACAAATCACCACGAAAATAAAAGAAGAAGAAACCTTCATTTTGCTCGAGAGAAGATCTCTCCCCCCCGGCTAACCCGGTCTTTCCAGAGCGATCGGAATAAAAACATACAGGCAAAGGAAAGAATCTGCTAAAAACCGTGGCCCTGATGAAAACGCTCTCAAAGCAGGACAAGGCCAGGGGCCCTCCGAAGGAAATCATGACTCCTTTGGTGATTACCCAGTCAATTCATGGGTCAATGATATTATGTATAGTGGGGGACGATGAAGCCCTGTTCCTCACTGCGATCCTATCTGCAGGGCCACCATCAGTTGTTGCATGGTCCTTGGATACTAAGCGGCAGATTCTGCAGGAATGTTGTTCCTGCCGTATTTTGTCTGCTCCCAAGAGGGGCGGGCACATTGCCACTAACTCCAAGGGATCGAAGGTTATCCTTCATATTGCCTGTCTCAGACTGCAGGCAAGCACAGTGGAATTAAAGAAGCTAATATCCTTGAATATCTACTGGCTTCCTCTCTCCCGCTTGCTGGAAGCCAACTTAGATTCTCTGAGGGAAATCTCCTTGCCAGAAGGACTGTCTGCACAAGACATCACGGACTGCCTACACCAGACTGATGCATTTGAAGCCTTCAGCTCGGAATCCTTCGTGACAGAGCTCAATGCAGATAAGACTCCCTCCCCTTCCTTGAGCGACAAAGCATTGCCTTCATGTGGTAGGGGACGAGGGGTTAAGAAAATCCTATCAGGCCGTATCCGATTCCCACGCGGCAGGGGTACAGGAAATGGTTCTACCAAGTAGAATCAGGTTCCTCACTTGGAATGTCCGTGGGTTTGATGACACATCTAAAAAGTTTAAAAAATCAAGATTTAAGGAATGGATCCACGCTAAGAATGTTCAAATCGTCTGTATCCAAGAGACGAAGCTAAGTCAAGATAGGATCACATCTATCCAAAACTGGTGGGATAGCCCGCAGTTCTGGTCTCCAGCTGACGGGACTAAGGGCGAGGTGGCCATCCTCGTCAACAAGGATTTGAAAATTGACATTCTAGATCACTATCTAGATGACGGGGGACGTTGGGCTTGGCTCAAGTTTGCTATAGATAATGAAGAATGGGCAATCATGATGGTGTATGCCCCGGAATCCTACGCTGATCGAATTACCTTTTTTGCAAAACTTCCGGCTGTCCATCCTGATGTCGAAAATTTTATCATAACCGGTGATTGGAATACAGTTCTCAATCTCGGCCAGGATACATTGGTCGCAACTGCTCTAAGAACAGATACGGTGCTTCTCTCATCCTTCTGTGAAACTCATAATCTATCAGACCCATTTAGAATCTTCAACCCGCTGGATCAAGGGTTCACTTGGTTTGGGTCACCCCCTACCCCTGACTCGCCCCAACCGAGGAAGCGTCTTGATTATTTTCTGGTGAGAGGTTCCCCTTGGGACCGCAGTATCTGGTGTGATGTGCTGCCTGCGACAATGTCAGATCACTACCCGGTAGCTTTCGATATCATCTCCAGAGATGAGGTTGAACGACACCGACCACTCTTTAGATTAAATGTGAACCTTTTGAAAGACCTAGGGGTAATCCGCTCGGTTAACTCTCATTTGACGAAATGGCTGAAAGCCAAGGATCTTTTCGCAGACTACTTCCAGTGGGCGGACACTGGCATAGCTATTGTCAAGCAGGCCCTGATCACCTTTTCCAGGATGAAAGCGGCTCGAAGGAATTGGAAAGAAAAGTCTCTATTTAAAACGATATTCGAAGCTGAATCTAAGATGGGTAAGGACCCATTTTTAGATTACTAATGGGCAGGCATTCGCAGAGACTCCCTAGCCCAGCTTGAAGCCCTGGAGATCCAAAGACATCTAGAATGGACAGAATTTCTAAACAATCGAGGGATTGTAGGCCTAGATAGGATGACAAAGCTCACTTTTCGCTCTCTTCTTCTTCGTCATTCTAAATCTTGGATTAAGGAACTGTCTCATCCATTTCATGCCTCTGCACCTTTAGTTGTAGATACCATTCAAATGTGCAGCTACGCTCTTGAGTATTACAGGGATATTGTCACTACCCGGAGACCCTTTCACCCTCCACAGTGTGACTTATCTGAAACATCGACCTTTTGGGATTCTTCACATAAGGCCATCTCTCACGCGGCTGCAGCTGAATTAGAGAAACCCACAAAAGAAACAAAGCTCCTCCTGGCTGCTAAAGCTATGGCAAAAGGGAAGTGCCCAAGATTGGATGGGCTCCCCATTGAATTCTTTCTCGCAACCTGGGCCTCCTTTGCCCCCTTTCTGTGTAAAATCTATAACCATGCCCGATATACGGGCACGCTCCCAAAGGGATTTACTCAAGGCATGATCTTACTTATGTACAAGAAAGGGGACAAACGAGACGTTCGTAACCGGAGACCCGTCTCTGTCCTAAACGTTACATACAAACTTCTTGCAAAGACCTTGGCTTTACGCCTGACAAAGCTCCTCCCCGATCTAATTGGTTGGGAGCAAGGGGCATTTGTTAAAGGAAGATCTATTTTTGAAAATATTATCTCAACCATACAGGCTCTTGAAGTCATCGGTAATGAAAAAAGGGACATTGCCATCCTCCTGTTGGACATGGAGAAGGCGTATGACAAAGTTGGATGAAGTTTTGTCCATACTACGTTAAAAAGGATGGGGTTCGGCCCCGACTTTAGCACCTGGGTAACAACTAGCTACGAGAACACCTCTTCGGTGGTTGTCATTAATGGTAGGATCTCAGATGAATTCCAATTAACTCATTCACTGCGTCAAGGCTGTCCCCTGGCGCCCCTCCTGTTTGTGGTCCAATTAGAAGTTCTTCTAGATAACATTAGGAGCAACCCGACAATAGCAGGCCTAAAGCAAGCTCGCACTCTTGAATGGAAGGGGGGAGCTCTAGCTGATGATCTTACTGTAGCTTGTGACAACAATACAGTAGCACTACACGAATTGCGTAAAGTCTAAGATGATTATTGTACCTTATCGGAAGCTTCTATAAATTGGAACGAATCCTTATTTCTCCTTCCTCCTCCCCGGGTGCTCTGTGTGGATTGGGGGTTAAAGCAAATACCTGGTAATTCTTCGGACTGTTTCCTAAGGGTCCAAATATCCTTGTCGGACTGTTGTGATGTGCAGGATTCTATATTCGCGGAAAAGGTAGCAGGGAGGATTGCGGGATGGGCACGTTCCTTCAAGCTCTCCGTTTTTGGACGGGCCTTGGTGTTAACTTCAGCAGTCTTCTCCCTTCTATGGTTCCCATTGTCGGTACATTTGTTGGGAGCAAGAGCTTACTCCAGGATCAAAAGGGATGCAGCACGATTTTTGTGGAAACCTGCAGCAAACTCTCAACAGGGCTTCATTTGGAAAGTTGCATGGGAAACTGTTTCCTCCACACGCTATCAAGGGGGTCTGGGCATCTTGGACCCGGTACATCAGAACTTGGCGTTGTTATGTAAATGGGTTGTTTCAGCCCTGTTTGGGAATAGATCCAAGCTGTGCGTCAGATTAGCGGAATATTTGTTATCCAGAGAATGAGAACTTTCCCGACCTGCAGATGTATGGTCCTGCCTCCTTATGCCTTCATTTGCCAAAAAGAAGCCTAAGTCTAGGGTCTGGTGTAATATATTGCATGCTTGGCATAAGCTCTTCCCCCCTGATTCTTAGGCCCCCCAGACTAGGAGGGAAGTATTGAATCAAATCTTATTCGAAAACCCGTATATTATTCACCCGGAAGGCCACTGGTTTAAAGCAGATGGCAGTCCTGGCTCTTTTGGGAAAGCTTGGATAGAAAGGGGACTGGTTCAGGTAAGAGATATCTGGGACGCCTCGAGAGAGAATTGGCTATCATTAGATCAGATCAAAATCAAACTGCATCGGTTAAGATTAGTGGAAGCCAATTATGACAAGCTCCTTAGTGCCATCCCCCTTTATTGGAAGAGGATGCTACCTGATTCGGCGGAATATGGGCAGGGAGCCTGGGTAAGAGATCCAGATGATAGAAGTGAGGTCTTTAGGATCATTGGGCGGGAACTCCCTGAGGGTATTAGAGTGGAAGTTTGGTCACGGAGGATGGGTTTCATCTAATCCAAGCCTCACTCAAATAGAGGATAGAGTCATAGATACCTCTGTAGGCCTGGTGGAATGCAGAGTCTGGCAGAATACAGTCCAAGAAAAAATAGAGATCACACTGACTGATAACGCAGAGAGCCTTCCGATGGAACCACTGCTTTTTGGCTGGCTGGGAATTACTGGACCGCAATCTCAAACACCTTTGGTGTCATATTCTACCAAAATTGGAGTCCAGATTCAAAGGTCCTCTGTT